CATCAGTTCTATAACTATAGCCCATGCGCTAGCCACAAATCTCATATCTGTTTATGGAGCACCAAAATGTATCCTCACGGACCAGGGCAAATCTTTTACGAGCAATCTGCTCAGGCATCTGGCAAAAATTTTCAAGATCTCCCAAATCAACACTACGGCCTACAGACCTCAAACTAATGGAGGATTGGAACGCAGCCACGCAGTACTGTCTGAGTTCATAAGACACTATGTCTCAGCGTTGGACGATTGGGACAGGCTTTTACCGTACGCTATGTTTGCATACAATACATCGGTACACGAAGCAACCAAATACACACCATATGAAATAGTTTTTGGAAAAAAGGCCCGGACGCCTATCGCCTTGCCAATGGAAAAAGAAATGAGGACGTATGAAACATATCTCAGAGAATTAGTAACAAGATTAATAGAGATTAGAAGACTAGTAGCAGAAAACATTATAACGGACAAGATAAGAAGAAAGAAAAACTACGACGAGAAACAAAGACCTTTGGAAGTAAATATAGGGGATATTGTAGACGTAAAAGAAGAAGTCAGAGCAGGGAAGTTCTCACCATATTATCACGGCCCCTACGAAGTTGTGGAAATAACCGAGAAAAACAACTTGATCTTAGCAGACGCAGAAAAAAGAAGATTTCGCAAACACAAAGATCAGGTCAAGAGAGCGTTCTCATGACAAAGAGACAAGAGGAATTTGCAAGTAGACGAAGAAGGATACGTTCACGTCTACACAGACGGGGCTTGCAAAGCAAACGGCAAACCTCAGGCAGAAGCAGGGATAGGGATATGGTTTGATTTAAATCACCCTTTAAATATAAGTGAAAGAGCACTAAAGAGACAAACAAACAATAGTGCTGAAATCGAAGCCATAGTAAGGGCAATCAACCTATTAAAATCCTTAGGATATAAAAAAATCAGAATCCACACAGATTCGAAATTCGTAACGGAGGGAATAAATAACTGGGTACCTAAATGGGAAGAAAATGGGTGGAAAACTAATAGGAAAAAACAAGTAATTAGCAAAAAAGATTTCGTAAGAATAAAAACACGTTCGAAGAACTTAGATATAGAATTAATACACGAACCAGGCCACTGCGGAATTCTAGGCAATGAAGAAGCAGACAAATTGGCCAAACTAGCTATAGAATAGAATATAATATACGATATACATACAAATATACATATATATAAATATCTTTATCTTGGGAATAGAAAAACCTTTATTTATTGTTTACAGAAATGTCCGGGTTTAAAGGAATATTACTACTCACCCTCTGGACATGCATGGGTACAAACTCAGAGAATACAAATCCATTAATTAAAATAAAAACAATAGAGAAGAGCACGGGAATATATTACGAATTAATGCCAAATTTAAGAAGAATAACGGGAGTATGGAGGACATACTTATATATATCTTATATTTATATCTTATATATATATCTTATATTTTATATTTATATCTTATATTTATCTTACTGGACACAGAAGAATTCAGAAAACAATTACCAAACATAGAACAACAATTCAAAAATTTGAAAACTCCATGTGATACGGTATTAGCAATGAAATGCGAAGACTTCATGAGCTACCAAACTCTAAATAGGAAAATATTTACAACTAAACTACTTAGGGAACAATTAGAAGAAATAATGACAGAATTAAAACAACAAAACGACGACAATAAATAATATAAATATAGAAAAATCTACAAACGAAGTACACCACTTTTGGGATTCATAGGCAAGATAGCAGGACCTACCATAGGAGTCCTTACTTATGATGATGGAGAAAGATACGACCAACTCTTATCAGAAATGGGAGAAGCACAAAGAAACATTTCGCATCTCGTTGGGGAACAAACACACATCGTACGAGCGGAACTTCAAAACCTCTATGATTTAGCTACAAAACAACATAACGAAACCGAAAAAACGAAATTATTACTACACACGATAACAGACGACCTTCAACAAGTAAACACGAGACTAAACACTATGGACTATAAAACACAATTAATACTAACGCTACAAAAATGGACCGAACAAATAGATACATACAAACACGGACTAGAGCAAACACTAAATATAATGTACAGCGCAAGGGAAGGAAAACTACACCCTAAGATGCTAACCAACAAACAACTCAAGGAAATAGCCTCAGAAGCACAAAAATACTTGGGCACACAGGAATTCCCCATTTTAATAAACAAATTAAACGTAGCCAAAGTTAAACAAATATCAAAAGTCCACGCCTTACTACAAGAAGACAAATTAATCATGACGCTAGACATACCATTACTAGAGAAAGAAACTTATTTACTATACCAAATGCATGAATTACCGGTCGTACAAAGTACAGGCAATAGCAAAAATAGAGCCTATATAAGCCCCCATACAAAATACATCGCCACCAGCGTAGATGGTAGACACTATTTCTATCTAGAAGAAGAAAAGTTGAACCAATGCTACACCCTAGAAGAAAAATACATCTGCTACCCCACGCAAGGTATATATGACATTACTCTAGCACCTAGTTGTGAGTCAGAACTACTTAGAAGACCAAGCAACGCTACATTAAGAACATGTGACATAAGAATTACACAAAATCAACAACCCTTATGGGAACCAATCACCACCACAGGAAGTTGGCTCTACTCACTGACGAAAGAAGAAACAGCGTATCTTATATGTCCAAAACAAATGACCGAAACCTACCAACTGAAATGAATAGGAATAATTAGCACCTCTAAAGACTGTACTATAAAAACCGACTCGATCAGCTTACCCAAACTACAAATCACACAGAACGTACACGAATACTACTACCATCCAAAAATAGAACTCAAAATAGAGGAAGTCTCCCCTATACTAAAAAGTACGAAACTACAGTTTGATGAAATCACGACTAACGATATGTACCCAACATGGAGAAAAATGGAAGTAGACGAGAAGCTACAAGATCTAGAGAAGGAACTAATGACCCAAAGCCAACATAAATTTGGCAGAAGAGAATATTCAATTTATAACAATTTAATAATAACACAGGCCAACAAAATTTGATTTAATTTACTTTCCAAGAATCAGACAATACTTTTCCGAAGGATTTCGACGTGCTGAATCCGAATCTGGCCTCAAAATAGACCCATCACGTCAGCTTTTCGAGATATTTTAACCTAAAAGTGCAAAAAACCTGTTTTTAGTTATATTTGATGTCATGTAACATCAAGTGATAATTTTTTATTTAAAAAGTCAATATTGCGTCTAAAAGTGTTACTCTTCCCCTTTAATATCCATTTTGAAAATTTAAAAAATCTTCATTTGTCTCTGAGTAATCGTTCATTGAATTTTTTGAGTTTGGCGAATTCTTCGAAAACTAAGTAGAAACACAAAACTTCGATAATAAAGCAGATTTTAACTACAAACATCTAAATTTTAAATAGTTCTAAGGATGTTCGATATAACTGAATACAAATTCGATATCAGATTAACAGAATTCAAAATGGCATATTTGAGGAAAATACAATCAATTTGAAATAAATCGTCTGCCATATTGTATACGCCATTTTGAATTTTGTGAATCTAATATCGAATTCGTATTCAGTTATATCGAAAATCCTCAGAACTATTTAAAATTTAGATGTTTGTAGTTAAAATCTGCTTTATTATCGAAGTTTTGTCTGTTTCTACTTAGTTTTCGAAGAATTCGCCAAACTCAAAAAATTCAATGAACGATTACTCAGAGACAAATGAAGATTTTTTAAATTTTCAAAATGGATATTAAAGGGAAGAGTAGCACTTTTAGACGCAATATTGACTTTTTAAATGAAAAAATTATCTCTTGATGTTACATGACATCAAATATGACTAAAAACGGGTTTTTTGCACTTTTAGGTTAAAATATCTCAAAAACCTGACGTGATGGGTCTATTTTAAGGCCGAATTCGGATTCAGCACGTCGAAAACCTTCGGAAAAGTATTATCTGATTCTTGGAAAGTAAATCTTGTCGGTCTGTGTAATCGTATTAATAACAGCCATAATTATAGTAATAATTATCTTAATTGCAAAATACACAAAAAAACTGCGATGCAACAAAAACTGCTGTAACAAAGAAAAAACAACAGACAATCAAATGGAAATGACAGAAACCAGCAACCCCCATGAAATGGAATCAAATAGCAGAGAATACGAACAAGTGCAACCAAAGGAAAATGTGAAGAACAAATATAAATTAAGAAAACAAAACGAAGAAAAAGGCCCTACAACCTCTTCAGACTGGAACAGCAAAGATATGGCACAAAGATACCGACACATAGCATAAAAAAAAAAACTTGTAAATATTTTTTCTAAAAAAAAAAATAACTAACAAATACCTACGTACTACACTAACAAAAAAAAACTTTAACAAGATAAATAAGAAAATATATATATATATATATAAATAATGGGAACTTACTAAGTAAATGGGAAATACTAAACTAACAAAAAACACTAAATTAACATGTACATAAATGTATAACTGCATGGGATACACACGACCATACACATATGTAGATGAAATTTAGCTTGTCTCCCTACATTTCTTTTTTTAATTTGTTTTTGATATCTCATTCGCAAAAGAGTATAGGAGAAAAGTAGATATGAATTTAACCCCTATTAACTAGCTTGCATCACAAGCTTGGCATCTAACGGCTTCAGGGTTGAACCATCCATCCTTAAAAATCGACTGCGACCCAGCAACTCCAAAAGCGATTTAAGAAAGAAAGAAAAGGAAACGAGGAAAATAGATTTCAAAATATTTAAAAAAAAAAGAAAAAATATATTAAGTTTTATAAAATTTTTTTTTATTACAAAAAGGTAATTTAAAAAAAAAATTTTTTTTCAAAAAAAAAATATTTTATTATTTACAAAAATATAATATAAAAAATACATAGAAAATAAATACAATTTAACTTTAAAAAGAAAAGAACGAGAGAGATAAAAGCACCTAAAAAAAGAGCAAAATTAGCACAAAATTCATAAAAACATATAAACACTTATCAAAAAAATCTATGTAACAAAATACCTCAATTCGCCCCCGAAACATCGCCTCCCCTAATCTACCGATATCCATAAGTTATATCCCCCGTCGCCGACTCGAACCTTTGTTCCACCAGACTAAGAATAACCCTCTCGGTTACAATAGGAGGACCTGACAAAAAATTTTCATTTGATAAAAAATATACTACAAAAAGAAACAAACCAATAATAAAAACAAGAAAAGGAAAACTTACTAATTACAAAACGCATGGGTAGATAAACAGGCAATAATCTGAAAACTCCAAGGGTAGTTGACACATAAGCTGAAAAAGAGGAATATATTTTATAAATATGCCAAATAACAATATTAACAAAAAACTAAACCAAGAAAATTAAAAAAAACTTACTAATATTTACTAATATTTAAAATTGAAGAAGATTTTTAAGTAATAAATTACAAATTATTGAAAATTCTTTTTGCCTAAATTTTAACAAAAAAACACTAATTAGTGAAGAATTTTTTTCTTAAATTCTATAAAAAATTTTTTTTTTAATTATTTACAAATTTTAATTAACATAAATTAAAAATATTTAAAATTAAAGAAAATTTTAAAGTAATAAATTACAAATTATTTAAAATTTTTTTTGCTTAAATTTGATAAGAAATTAAACAAAAAAAATACAAATTATTGAAAATTTTTTTTTCCTTCAATTTTATAAAATTTTTAAAATTATTTAAAATTTTTTTTCTCAATAAACACAATTCAAAAATTGTAAAATTTAAATTATTCTTTAGTAATTATATTTATAATATTATTAAAAATAACTATAAACAACATTAATCAAATATTATTTAAAACAAAAATAATAATACAAAAATAACGGAATTGTCTCTTTAACGAAGTATAGTACATGCATGCATAAGGGAAGATAGAAAAGTAGACAACGAATCACAAGAACCGCTAACGTCAACAGTTTCAAAAGGAAGCAAGATATCACAATACACATTCCAAAAAAATACATATACAACCTTAACGATTAAAATTATTAATAATATATATCAATATCTACTAATATGCAATTACAAAAATTAATACTTAAATCCTACCTTTTGTAACCCCATTATTTTTTTTTATTTTATCGTTTTACCCTCCCTTTTAACGCACATTTCTCCCTTTAAAACTTAATATATACAAAAATTTTTTTTGCCACACTACACAAATACAAATAAAAAAAAACAGAAATAAAAGTTTTTTTTTCTTGCATAAGAAAAACGATATATAAAATTAGAAATAGAGAAAAAAAAGGTACTTATCAAAGTCGTTAATTGTGAATATCCAAGAATAACCAAACACACCACACAAAGAAAAAATATAACAATTTTTCTTTAAACAAACAAGACTTGCAACTCTATTCCATACACAATGTGAACATGTGAGACGTGTCAAGTGTATTTTTGAAATCAATTCTACTTACTTTGATTGTACTGTTTTTCTTTATAGTATCAAATCTATTCCATATCTTTGTCTGGCAATGTTAATTTAAGAATCCTTTTTATATCCTGACTTCCTCTTCTCAATGGTCTTCACTTCATGTGCACTAATTTCACACTATATCGATTAACTTTTAAGCAAAAATTACTAACTCAACGAAACAATTCAAAACGATCTATTTCTTTCAGATCTCCGACTCAAAACAAACAAACTCAACTTTCCTTCAGGAAAGTCTAAAGCCAACTCCCTGATTTTCCCTTTTCGATCCATTTCGTTCACCGAAGATCGAAAGCGGGGGAAATCGTTCTCTTTGTAACACCTGGTCTTTGACCCGTGTTTTTTTTGCTTAGTTTTCAATTTAGACGTGGTGTGATCCCAGTTCATTAAACTTGGATTCACCACTCATAAACTCTTTCGTGAATATTGTGAAATTTGAATACCACAAAGTTAACGACCCCAAGTGTGAAACTGTTAAGTTGAGTGACCATTGAGAAGTGGCTCAATTTTTATTGTTTATTTCGATATTTTTTGTTAGCAATCAAAGTTAGGTTTAATTGGTTTCTTTTTAGTTCTAATTATAAAAATATTACATTTAAATTAATTTGTATTTGTGTAATTTGTTTTTATTCCATAGGGACGGAATGTGACGAAGTCGGTTCGTCACAAATGCCCCCCTTCTAATAGGCTGACGTCCCTTGCCAGCTGCGTTTGGCGTTGTTGTTAATCCTTCCTTAAGCATGTGTAACTCTTTTGAGTTTTACAATAGTCATGTCCTCTATTTCTTGCTTTACAAAATATCTTCTTGGATGACCTGGATATTATTTCTTAATATTACGCTAATAACGTTGAATATGTTGGGGTTTTAGATGTTTGTATATTATAATTAGATAAATTTCTTATAAAATATTTTGTAAAAATTTATGAACAAAAAATTGTTGATTGTTTATAAATACGGGGAAGTCGATTTGTGTTGGTAACAAGATTCGAGAAAAAACGTTTTATATTGGATGAAATGTCGTGTAATTATTATGACGCTTGTATAATTTTTTTGCATAATTTGTTGTGTAAGTAATTTAAACGCTGACCGTGTTTTTTTTTAAATTTGAATCGACCTAATGACGTTGTGTTAAATTGCATATCATGTAACATTTTATAATTCTGATTTTGTTTTTTTTATATTACATCATTCGTAATGTCCAAAGTTCGAAATCTGAATAGGATTACAATTTGCTATTATAAGAATTTGTGATATAAAAGGTCTGTGAAAAGTCGTAGATTCTTTTGATAAAAAAAAATTTATTACATTGTGTTTTTTTTGAAAGAGAAGAATGTGTTATTATAATAGTTTGCGATGACAGAGTATCTGTTACTGCCCCCCATCTAATTAGGCTGCCGTCCCTTGGCAGCCCTATCGAAAGTCACATATTTATCCCTTCTGTGCTTACAGTTTAGTCGTGTGTATTGTGATGTATTTTAGCGCAGGTGAGTTTATATGTTGGCTTATGTTGTGTAATTGAAATTTGTCTTTCTATTCACAGCTTAATTGTGTTTTATATTAATATATATTTATCTTGTGATTAATAATAATTTTCGGGAAATACCAATTCTGTATTGTTTTATATTTAATATTCATTAGAGGGTTTCATTTTGCTTTGTTGTAATGGATATGTTTTTATAGATTTGGTATTTCCTTAAGTGTGTACAGTCGTTGGTTTACATTTTTTTGTATTTATAATGTATATATATATATATATATATTTTTTTTTGTGTGTGTTATTCGCTGAAGAAGAAAAAGGAGTCGTATTTAAATATCCGGTGTATTTTTTTGGTTCGTGTATTTCTGTTTCTGTAAGACGAGAATTAATATCCTTTTTCTTCTTTTGCGATTTTTATAAATTTGATTTTCTCACGTTGTGATTTTGTTGGGTTTGCATTTTCTTTAAATGCCTTGGTGGCTTGGTGTATGAATTTGTTTTGTTCTTCAGTTTGCGTTTGATCGTTGATCTGATAATTTGTCTGTTTGTGAGGTAGTGTTTGTCAATTGTAGTTGAGAGTGATATAATTTGAGAATATGTCTGTAGACTTTTTCAATTTCGATTCTTTAAAGTTAGCATTGGAGTACACCTATGATGGAAATTTTAGTTTGGAGGTTTTTTTATTGCGTAAGAGGGGGGAGTTGATGTCTACTCAGTCTGCTAAGCATCGAAATGGTCGTCGGGGGTGAGTTGTGTTTCATGAGGTTATGATTGCTGATTTGTGTTTAAGTTCTGTGGAAGGTGAAAGATTTTTTTTAGCGTTTTGGTGTGTTTCCCTGCCTGGGAGCGGGCTGCTATTCGGTTGAACCCAGGCGTGTCTTGGTTGTGTTCGAAAGGTGGTGCAGAATTTGATGCTGTTTCCTCATACTGCGATACTTGGGTGCAAGAGTATCGGTGGAGTTGGGAGGAGCGTGCGTATGAGTGCCGTGGATTTTGGGCATTCTCGGATTTTTTGTTTCCTACGAAAGTTGAGGTTTCGGGAGAGGAGCCCGTCGAACAGATTCGAGGCTGTTTGGGTGTGAATTTATATAAGTTGTGAGTATTTGGCATGTTTTAGTTTCAGAGTGCTGTGATGATATCGGTTTGATATTTTTTTTTCATATGTGTTTTTTTTATTAATTTATTTATTTATTTTTTTTTAGTCCTAAAAGTGAGCTGCCTGTTGTACCTCCTATTCAAGGTTTGCGTATGGAGAGTCGAGCTTTGGAGTTGGTGTTTGTGGAGGAATTTCGTGTTAATTGGGGCGAGGTGGAGCGGATTTCATCAAAGTGGGAAACTGTAAGTAATTTTACAGGGAAAAAAAAATTTATTCTGACATGTTTTATTGTGTTCTCTTGTTTTTATTTTTTTTTTCTTATGTATGTGTTTTTTTTAGCGTTGGAGAATTGCGCTCAGACATTTTTGGTTTGAGTGCTAGGTGTTTATGTTAAGGTGTGTTTTGTAAGTATCAGTGTGTATATGGGGGGAAAATCTGTATGCATTCACTGTTGATGCTTGACTAAAATGATATAATAAAATGGTTAAAGTTCGTTTCTTTTCTTCTTTTTTTTTGAATAATTTAAATTTTGTGTAGAAGCGAATTTAATAAATTTGAATTGATTAATTATATTAATTTAAATGTTCTTTCATTATTTTGTTCCCTTTTTATATTTCTCACATTTTGAAGTTGTCTTTTGTTTTTATTATTTTTTGACGTTATACAGAAAATCGATTCTTTAATAAATAAAATATGATTAAGAGATAAAATTGTTATATTATACTATAATAACATTGTTATTATAACTTCATTAAAATTATTTATATTATTTTGGTTCAATTATAATTTTCTAGATTTTTAAGTTATTATTGTTTTAAATAATATTTGAATTTCTTAAGAGAATTTTATTATTTGTTAAGATAGTTAAAGTCTTTATTAAGGATTTTTATAAAAAAGAGTTGTTAGAAAGGATTTTATATAAAAAAATTGTGTTTAAATAAAAAAAATATGTAATGAATTACTTAAAATTTCATAAATGGTAAGGGTTGTTAGATTTTTTTTCAACTGTGGATTACGACTGTGGAGGCGAAATAAGGATAGAGGTGAGATGTGTAGTAAGTTTATTTATTTATTTTAATTTATTTTTGTTTTGTGTTTCTTGTGTATATATTTTCGTATTATTCTTTGTTTTAGTTAATAATTGTAAGGTATGTTTGTGGATTGTGTAATGATTTCGGTAAGTGTAGTTATAGCTAATTGAGGTTTGTTTTGTGCGTTAACAGCATCTTTGTTAGTGTATTAGTTAGTCTGTGTCTTCTTGTCGCGCGTGAAGCTGTATAGTTGTCGCTCTGATGCATTTACTTGGTATTTGTCTTTGTTTAGTGTGATTCGTTCCGTCGGCGTGGAGGTTTCTTATTTTTTCGTTTGGTCGTAGTTTATTTTCTGTATAGTGTTGTATGGAATAGAGTTGCAAGTCTTGTTTGTTTAAAGAAAAATTGTTATATTTTTTCTTTGTGTGGTGTGTTTGGTTATTCTTGGATATTCACAATTAACGACTTTGATAAGTACCTTTTTTTTCTCTATTTCTAATTTTATATATCGTTTTTCTTATGCAAGAAAAAAAAACTTTTATTTCTGTTTTTTTTTATTTGTATTTGTGTAGTGTGGCAAAAAAAATTTTTGTATATATTAAGTTTTAAAGGGAGAAATGTGCGTTAAAAGGGAGGGTAAAACGATAAAATAAAAAAAAATAATGGGGTTACAAAAGGTAGGATTTAAGTATTAATTTTTGTAATTGCATATTAGTAGATATTAATATATATTATTAATAATTTTAATCGTTAAGGTTGTATATGTATTTTTTTGGAATGTGTATTGTGATATCTTGCTTCCTTTTGAAACTGTTGACGTTAGCGGTTCTTGTGATTCGTTGTCTACTTTTCTATCTTCCCTTATGCATGCATGTACTATACTTCGTTAAAGAGACAATTCCGTTATTTTTGTATTATTATTTTTGTTTTAAATAATATTTGATTAATGTTGTTTATAGTTATTTTTAATAATATTATAAATATAATTACTAAAGAATAATTTAAATTTTACAATTTTTGAATTGTGTTTATTGAGAAAAAAAATTTTAAATAATTTTAAAAATTTTATAAAATTGAAGGAAAAAAAAATTTTCAATAATTTGTATTTTTTTTGTTTAATTTCTTATCAAATTTAAGCAAAAAAAATTTTAAATAATTTGTAATTTATTACTTTAAAATTTTCTTTAATTTTAAATATTTTTAATTTATGTTAATTAAAATTTGTAAATAATTAAAAAAAAAATTTTTTATAGAATTTAAGAAAAAAATTCTTCACTAATTAGTGTTTTTTTGTTAAAATTTAGGCAAAAAGAATTTTCAATAATTTGTAATTTATTACTTAAAAATCTTCTTCAATTTTAAATATTAGTAAATATTAGTAAGTTTTTTTTAATTTTCTTGGTTTAGTTTTTTGTTAATATTGTTATTTGGCATATTTATAAAATATATTCCTCTTTTTCAGCTTATGTGTCAACTACCCTTGGAGTTTTCAGATTATTGCCTGTTTATCTACCCATGCGTTTTGTAATTAGTAAGTTTTCCTTTTCTTGTTTTTATTATTGGTTTGTTTCTTTTTGTAGTATATTTTTTATCAAATGAAAATTTTTTGTCAGGTCCTCCTATTGTAACCGAGAGGGTTATTCTTAGTCTGGTGGAACAAAGGTTCGAGTCGGCGACGGGGGATATAACTTATGGATATCGGTAGATTAGGGGAGGCGATGTTTCGGGGGCGAATTGAGGTATTTTGTTACATAGATTTTTTTGATAAGTGTTTATATGTTTTTATGAATTTTGTGCTAATTTTGCTCTTTTTTTAGGTGCTTTTATCTCTCTCGTTCTTTTCTTTTTAAAGTTAAATTGTATTTATTTTCTATGTATTTTTTATATTATATTTTTGTAAATAAAAAAAAAAATTTTTTTTCAAAAAAAAAATATTTTATTATTTACAAAAATATAATATAAAAAATACATAGAAAATAAATACAATTTAACTTTAAAAAGAAAAGAACGAGAGAGATAAAAGCACCTAAAAAAAGAGCAAAATTAGCACAAAATTCATAAAAACATATAAACACTTATCAAAAAAATCTATGTAACAAAATACCTCAATTCGCCCCCGAAACATCGCCTCCCCTAATCTACCGATATCCATAAGTTATATCCCCCGTCGCCGACTCGAACCTTTGTTCCACCAGACTAAGAATAACCCTCTCGGTTACAATAGGAGGACCTGACAAAAAATTTTCATTTGATAAAAAATATACTACAAAAAGAAACAAACCAATAATAAAAACAAGAAAAGGAAAACTTACTAATTACAAAACGCATGGGTAGATAAACAGGCAATAATCTGAAAACTCCAAGGGTAGTTGACACATAAGCTGAAAAAGAGGAATATATTTTATAAATATGCCAAATAACAATATTAACAAAAAACTAAACCAAGAAAATTAAAAAAAACTTACTAATATTTACTAATATTTAAAATTGAAGAAGATTTTTAAGTAATAAATTACAAATTATTGAAAATTCTTTTTGCCTAAATTTTAACA